GGTTGGACAATTCACAAAATCGTCTGCAATGACAACATTCACAACGCAGGGTTGGAATATTTTCTTCCAGCCTTTTCTCAGTGTACGTAATACAAGGTTCGTCTATTCGCCTACGTTATCAATATAGTGCATCTTCTAGCCAATTGCTAAAAATCAAATTTCGTCATTCAATTAGTTTTATTGCTTGCCACCACTGATCAAACGAAACATATTATAGGACAGTTTAAAAAAATCAGAGCAGAAAATAAATGAAAAAAGAAAATTGGTTCAAATCTATTTTAATTCATAACGATTATACCTTTTGCACATGCAGTCGCAAGCACAGCAGCAACACTGAGAATTTGGGACATTCGAACGAAGTTTTTAGACATTCAGCTTAGCATTTGGCTGTTCAGTTATTTCCGTTTTTTCAGTTTATTCTTATCAATTCTTATTGTTATAGTCTAACTGGCGATTTGATTGCAACGGAAGAAAAAATTCGTCTGAACTATTGAACAGAAAGAAACACTCTTATATATATGTTCTTCTGTACTCTTTTAATTTTTCTAATTTATTTGCAGATAATGCGAATCAATTCAAACGAACCAAGGAATAATTACAAAATCCGTTCTAATCAATCGATTTGCAATCAAAAACAGAGTTATTGTGATACACAACAAATAGATTTTTCTGACTATCATCATAACTAATATGTTTATTATGGGAACAATACACTATAAATTAACTTTTAATTAAACGAAGTAGTATCAAACCAATGATGGACGATTATTCTTAGTTCAAAGGAAATCGTGATTATTTCATTGTTCAGACATTCAATCCTATACCAGTGACTAACAGATTACATCGAAAAGGCTGTGATAACTCAAGAATATTTTTAGAGTTTGGCGTTTTTATCAAGTTATTTGCTAACGACATATGTAATGAAATCTCAATTTATACTTGATAATTTGTTTTTCTTGAAAGAATGAAATGTGATAAACGTAGTTTGATTTCTATAACCAACAATTTAAATCAATTTATATCCAAAAATTCTGTTCTCATTTAAGTTTTCGCCATTCGATTTTGTGTGTTTTGATCTCTTGGTTCACAGGATCACTAATTTGTGCAATTTGTCTATTTATTTACATTTTTCATGAAATTATTTAATTTCTGTCTATAATATCGACAGTAACCATTGCGATAATAGCGACAGCATAAAGAATTCGATGGAATACGATTTTAAATAAGTATCCTTGATTATTTTCATAAACGTTGGTTGAAACATTCCAACCGAAATATTGATATTTCAACAGTGCAGTAGTAGTGTGTCCTTCGTTTTTTCAACGCTTATCACATGAAATTTGCAACGAAAATCAAATTGAAAACAAAAGTGTAGAAACCTGACTGTGCACTTTTTCATTCGATGCAGCAATTTATATATTGCAATTTTATTTACATTCAACGAAAAATAAATAGTGAAGAAGAAAACAACGAGGTGATTTGCGTAGAGTTGATTCAATAGAAAGTTCTTTAAATAGGACAAAAATCGGTTTTGAGCTTAAGGTTTATGTCATAAGCTCTGATTAATTAAGATTGCAAAAAAGGCTGATAAAATACCTAGCACCCGCCTGCTGCTTGTAATGATATCGTTGCAAAACAAACTGTAGAATTCACAGAGACTTCTACGATCAAGCACGTGCTTCTGCATAATTGTTTCGATTTTCCCAAGAAAGCAATATCCTCGTGCAAAAAATAATTTAAAGAAAAATGACAAAAATGCCTTGAAATGATTGCAGCGATATCAATTAAAACTCATATCACTATTAATTTATCGATGCTTTCCGTTCATTTCCGTCATTTAATTTATTTTTATCGGCTGGTTTTTCCCTGCGATACGAGTTTAAAAATGCACAGAATTTACTGTTTTGTTTAGTAATTAAAGAAAATGAAATTAGGGGGAGACACGAAACTTAAATGAGTAAAATTAGAACATTATCCAACGATAATAGGAAAAATAGAAGAAATTAGTGACTCACTAATAGTGAGTTTGGTTTGCCAATGTTAACGCTTATGGACGTATTGTTTACAAAATAATCCCGTTAGGTCTTCCATAAGCGTTGTATTGACAGTGTGATACGCTCTGCAACCGATTTTAATAGAAATAATAGCACAATATTACCACTTTTGCACCAAAACTAGAAAAATTAGAGGACATCTTTATGAAAAATATATAAAATTGAATGTAACTAGACTCTACTAGAATTTGTGTCTCGCCCCTAGAAATGAAACGATTCCGTTAAACGTTTAATATTTCGTGTCAAAAGCAATTCAAAAGCGATTCAAATGCAGCATTTTGTAAGCGATTGAGCAAAAGCATCGATTGATATAGATATCAGATGGTATGATCTGAGTGTGTGTCGCCACAATTCTTCACCGTAAAATGTTCTCCGTGCGTCTTCATTAAATATTTCTCGAGTAAAAATACGAATTGTGGATCGTAAATAAAGCTACCTGATTTATGGCTCCGTAATTAAGTTGTGTGGTATTCGTCGATAATTTGAAGGTAATCATAGGTTTTGAGCTTGAATAAACTGGATTCGTGGTTCGATTGTATGGCTGCGATATGTATGCGCATGCGAGCGTTGCGGCGACAGAGAGTGGGCGATCAGTGATGAGTCTATATCTAGGCGAAAAAAATACAAGCACACTAAGCTTATGAGCGCCAGTGACTTTTGTGAACTAGTTCATGCGAATGTATATTTAACGGAAAATTTATGACTTCTTCACCTTTTGTCGGTCTCGGTAAAATTCTCTGGAATCGGCCATTTTTCATTCAATGAAATTCATTCGTTGCTCCCGAATCATTTATACGTAGACGTACACTTTGATTCAATAAAATAACCATCAGTTTTGCTAAATCGAACTCACAATGTCTATGGAACGATGTGATATGTGGCGCAACTAGGTGATGGCCGCAGAAGTTCTGTCAAAATTTATACACAACCAACTTGACATTCAGTTACATAGTTCAGCTAACCCATAGTACATCCATCCATGGGCTAGGTGCGCCACCAGCGTGAAAAAATATGACAGTATATGATTAATACACAGCACATTGTGAGTACGGCTAAATTGTAGATTATAAACAAACCTGGCAAACCGTACACTAACACCCGATGGCGCAAACAAAGAACAAACCACTCTCTCAAACAAGTTCAATGGATATTCTAACCATACCCGTTTCGTTTGCAATACGATGAAATGCGATAACAAAACGATCGCAGATAATTCACAATGTTCGCAAATCGTTGTTATTTCTTTGTTTGAATTTCATATTGGCCCCGAAGCATACGATTTGCGAGCACGTTCGTCTTCGTTTTGCAAAGGTAGTAATTTTCATCTTATTTATGTCCGAACCGCAAATCTGATAATTTTCTAACATTAGATGAACTCGTTTTTTTCTTGCTCTCCATCTCTCTCTATCTCTCTCTCTCTTTCAAATTCAACAATCAAGTTCTTATTCTTCCGATTCCATGTATTATTATGTAAAAATGTTTGGTTATTCGATACAAAACCATTTTCGATATGTATCATTTTGCTTATGATAATTGACGATAATAATGCCATGTTTCCGGTTGAAGTGAATGAAGATCTAGACATAAATGCTGTACTCATTATGTTTGATTCATCGTGAATGTCAAATATTTGGCCAACGTTGGCAGAAGTAATTTTTCACAAACAAAACCGATCGCCATTTCGATGGTTTCTATAAATTTGTTTCTCTCTGCCACACCATTTGGAACACTGACCCATTTCACGTATTCTGAAATTGCTACAAACATATTACAAATAAACTCAAAGAAATACAAAACATGTGGTTCGTCTGGGTGTTTTTTTTTTTTTTTTTTGGTACAAAATGATGTTTAGTTTAAATTCTCTTTATTGGCAGTTTGAACGTTGCGTATTTTTTTTTCGCTCTCTATTCATATTCTAAACGTTAGCTAAAGATTATGACATACTGATGGTGAGATATACATATTATAAATGATTTATAGTTGCATCAGGAAACTAATAGGCAATTATTATTCTAACACATAAAAACAATATCATATCGATTTCGCGCATTTTGGTGCTGGAACTAAATAAATTCGCAATTTCGAACCATTTGCATTATTGTCGGTTCACTCTCTGGTGAAACAGCTGGTTTTTTTCTTCATTCTAAATTTGTTTTAACTAACATAAAATTAGATTAACGAATAACGATGTGCTGTGGATTGATCTTGTTTTTTTTTTTTGATGTTCGATAGTTGTTTGAGCTTAACTTAGGAAAAAAGTATTTTAATTTTTTTTTTCTGCTGTTTGAGCGTACGATTAACCGTTACCATGGAATAGGATATGATATATGGATTATCGTCGCGTACATTTATATCGATGGAACTTGTCCAAGCGGTAGTGGATAGAGGTGAATTGAGCACAAATTTTTATTACATTTTACAGAAAAGAAAAATATTCTATTTAGTTGTTGAACACCATTTCAAGAGATGAATGCTTCACGCTTAGTAGAATGGTCGTCTTGGTGATGTTCTACGCGATGATTTAGCCGTTTTCGGTTTCAAATGAGCATGTGGCCATGTGGCTAGTACGTAATTTTCAATTTCACACTCATTCACGCCACGCAGTATACGGAAGAATCCTTGTTCGCCCCACCAAGTTCCCCAGCTATTGGCTGCAATCTGAAAAAAAAATACCAAAGTTTAACGGTTTTACAGCATTTTTTTTTTTTGGTTGAGATTTTTGTATTGTTTACACTTTTCAATTAGATTTGTCAATGAATGAAGTAACAAACATATTCTGAATGAATTTTTTTCTTACCCAATATTTGGTAACCTCATAGCCAGTTCGCTCTTCACCCCAACCAACTAAACGTACCGAATGGAATCCACCCTTTTCGCTACGGCTGGCGGCGGAGTGACGATATATTCCACGTTCATAGGTAAAGAAGTCACGATACACACGCATTGTGGCTGTTTCAAAAGGGAAAGGGATGTTCCGAAATTAAATCGCATCAATCATATTCATTTTCCTTGAACAAAAATATGTTTACCTTGAACTGGTCCGGATTCCATAATTTCAGCCATAATATCGCTCTCGTTATTCAACGAATAGGCTGGACCAACTCGATACAAATGATCACGTGGTACACCCTTTGGCAATTCGCAACCAACTGATGAAAGTGTAGAATCTTTATGCACTTTACAGCGACTCGATTGAGCTTCGTATGGATAACAAGCATCATCTACCAATCTGGGATGACAAACACAAATGAATGACACACTTTCTTTGTTGCAATTCTTTTTTTTAAAATCGAATTCTCTCGGTTTCAATGGAATCAACTTCTTTAAGTTCAATTATCGAACAATTGATTTTTAATTTATTTTCAGCTTAAAAAGTTTCTCTCCGGAACAAAATTCATCTCATTCAAAAAGAAAAGTTCTAAGAAAGAAAATGTACACAAAAACCTTACCCAATTTTGCGAATATAGTTCCATGCCCAGTCCAAGTGTCCGCCGCTACAGCCCAATTGTCTTCGTACGCATGATAATAATTGTTGTGGTGACAATTCGACCGATTCTTTGCCTTTCGTTTGAATACCAAATCGATCTGATGCAACGGATGCAGTTGAAATAGCCCACGATGCACCGCACCAGCCTTGATCATGAATTGGCGATATAAATCCGGCCCAGCGACCTTCTTCAAACGCATTGAAATTGCGTGGCAATGATTCCGGTTTATTTGATAGTTTTGTCATGGCCTTGACTTTGTATGTTGGCTCTTTTGTGCCCAAACGTAGCTCCAAGCCTTCGTCGTACTTTTTGCCCCAGAATTCCGTGTAATTCGTTGCACTCCAGCCGATTGTTCGCGAGAGAGTGTTGACATTGTTAATGAGACTCTCATCGATCAAACATACATTTTGTTCGCAATGTGCTTGTCCATCCTTTCCGCACGTGCTATTGGAACAAAAATGGTTTTCATTTTACATTTTTGTCGTTCAAAATCGTTTGAAATCCGTTTTATATGGTAAATCTGGTGTAGATTTAGAAGAAAAAAAATGGCAATCTACACTTTCACTTACCACAAATTGCAGTTGTCACGAATCTGTTCCGATTGATTGAACCATTGTCCATTGTGATAGCATTTAACGACGATTGGATCTGGTTGTGGTTGGATTCCCAAGCAGAATGAATCATAATCGGGACAACAATCACCATTATCAATTCGATTGTAGCCGCAAAATTCATCACAATAACAAAGCGTAGCTGCCATTCGAATATCAAAAATTCATTTATTATTTTTCTTTCTACATTTATTTATACTGAAATTCGATTTTATGCACACGATTCTACTTTTAAGCCCGTTTCCAAGGTAATCATGAGCCGTAGATCACGGAATATTCAGGTAAAAAATGGGTTTTCACTTACTTGAAATTGGAACAGAACACGAATCTGTACGGTCATTGCAGCATCCGCCTGGTCGTGTTGCACAGTATGGTCCTGGAAAATCAATTGCTGGTCCAACTGCATTTACATTCGAAATAATGGCCAACAACCATACACCGACCAAAATAGTTAACTTTCGAAATCGATCCATTATTGCCGACAATTTTTGTTTCTTTATTTATTCAAACGTTTTGCACCTTATCGAAACTAATCTGTGAATGAAAGAATCATACGAAAACCATTCAGATTTTATGAATGAAGAATTCTTTATTTTTGTTTATATCTATTGCTCTGTTCACATCATTTCGATTGGAAATCACGTCAGAATTATTAATCAATTCGTTATTTCGTGCAGAAATGCCTTCAATCGAGGAACACGTGTGAAAATAATATCAATGATCGATTAAAGTACAAATCAATTACTTATCATAGAAATGAAGCCCGTGTACATGGAATGTACAATTCGTCAGCACGTTATGAGAGGGCTCAATGAATTTAAATCCGATTTCGACTGCGTTGATAGATTAAAATCTATGTTGAATACATAATTATCGATTATCGAAAATTATGCAAAATCGATAATAGATTAACCAATTGTGCGTAATGCGTGATCGAAATAATTGAGTGTCATTTTTGACTTTGAAACATGTTTTTCATTACGTTTTCGAGGATTCGGTTTGAAGAACTATGTTTTAATCAATGCTTAACGTTAACCAGAAGTATTGCTGTGGAGTCACATTTTTTCATGTATTTCTTTCCCATTCCACTTTCAACCGAATTTCAATTTGCAAACAAATTTACAATCATGTCAAAATACATTTGGCATGAATTAAATCGATAACAGAATGATACCAACAATTATGCCCACAACTCTGTAAACATTATATCCAGAATGCGGATGTTTTCTAAACAAAATTGTATCGAAACGTTCATTTTAATTTGGAGTTCGACAAAAAAATTATTTCACAAAACCAAAACAGATTCGCAGTAGCATCATTATCATCACCAAACCAGAATCGGTTTTGCGTTTTGAATGGCATGGTTTCTGGTTACGATGTTCGTGCACGGCCCACGCAGTTTAGAGATTTGCAAGTCATTGGCGAAAGCAGTTTGAGTAATAAACCACAAACAAAATATAAATCACGAATCAAAGATAAATGACGCGTGAGAGAGATAGAGTGAGAGAGAAACCAGAGCAAACTATACAATTTGATATGTGATGTGCTTGTGGTGGTTAACGCCAATTATTTTCTGGTTAACAGTAGCCTAAATGTGATTGCAGGCCAACCTGTTAGCCGATGATGACAATCGAATATGACAAATACTCATACGTTTCGTCCCGAAGTAACCAAATTAAGAAATGTGAATTGGGTAAAAAGAACAAATGCCAAAGACGCTTGCTGTCCAAACAGCGGGGAGCCAGCATAAATAACCATTCCAATGAACACCAAACGTCAAGGAATGTGAATGACTTTTAGAAGAAGAAAAAACCAATTAAAATTTCGCTATTTCTGGATTCAATGGTCAACTCACATTTCTGCTGTAATTTTGCAATTAAAAAAGAAAATTCAAACATTTCTGCGCTAATTCAAATGATGTATTTTCCGGTAAAATTCAATTATTTCCTTGGGTTGGAAATGACTGATTCCGAAACGGTCGCAGACTGTGTATTTTTTATTCAAAAAGAATTTTTGATGTGAATTCAAATTCAAAATGCATTTTAAAAAACAGCGATGGAATGTTTATGAACTAAATTTGTTAGCACCATGCAAATTACGGGAATTTTCAAATCAACACACAAACACACATGTTCTTGGCGCTTGAAGATCAATGCCACATTTGTTCAATGTTCGGTGTTGTTTCTAATTCACTCCGTTTTTATTGTTGTTTATTTCGAAACCATCGTAGCATGGTGTTCAGTTCTGGCGTTTATCTATGGCTTGGTTTGGCAAACGTTTGCACGTCATATTACATAATGGGATGCCTTGTGTTCGATTTTTTTTTGCTTCAAGATTAAAGTGAAATTTATTTAGTGTGCTCCACATTGACATTGAGCCAAATGACAGCAGATCCCCGAACCACACGAACAATTGCATATGCACCACACAAAAGCGCCAATTGTTTATTCGCAAGAGAGAGAGCGAGCGAGAGAAGCAAAATCAACAACGAACCGCAAAAAAAACGCATGTCGAAATAAAACCAAATGTTTATGATAATAATAAAGAAATGAAGTCATCGAGTCGAATGTAATGAATTGCATTCATCGAACGGATCATTTGATTATTTATATCTACGACCATTATTCATATGATCACAATTCATGTCCACATTTTGTTTACCGTAATGATGTTTTTCTTTGCGCATGTAAATTACCGGCAAAACAAAAAAACACCACACGGCTGAATAAAAGAGAAAAAGGAGGGAAGGAACAAACGGTAAATGTATTCAATTGATGTCATGGTTTGATATTTGTTCATAAAAATTTGTTTCATTTTTATCGTAGGCCCTGAAGATGATGACGTACACGCTCACTTACATGTACTCCGTTGAGAAAACGGGGAAGTGATATCTTGAAGGCTCGATGAGACACACTTAAAACAGTGTAAAAATCAATTTTATGTGCGAGAAATTGGGTAACGAAAACCAAGCGCATTTGGCATTTAGATTTATCAACAGATGATTGCAGCTCATTTCTCTCTTTCTCTGTTGCTCTGGGCTGTCCGGAGGGAAATTGACTGATTGTGTGTGTATATGAATTGAATTCGAATTTGTTGCTCGAAGCAAATTGAATGGGTTCGTTTTTTTTCTTCATCTGTGGAATATATTGAACATTGGAATCGTGCACATTTTATCCACATCTCCACTGTAAGACGTGGAAGTCGTAGGCGGACCATTTTCTTTTCGTTTTAGTGTTAATGAATTTTACTTTTCAACTGCCAACTGCATTCAAGTTGCTTTTTATACATTTATTGTGTTTAGGCATTTTGCGATTGTTTACATTTCAGTTAATCCAATGTGTGTGTGTATTTTTTTCTTTCTCCCTCTCTCTCTCTATCCGCAATATAGTCAATTTGATCGTGAGCTAAATGTTAGTAGGTGACATAAATAATATTTTATTATACCATTTATAAATTGTCATTTATCTCGCGTTTTGCCAATTTGAATTTGAAATATATGAATGATAATGGTTTTGTGTGTGTATGCGCGCGTGCGATGCTTGAAAAATGGGCTGGTCTACATTTTCACTACAACTAGCTCCTGGTCACTCTGCCTTCCTTGGGGACACACACCCAATAAAATTGATCGATTTTGAATGGGCAATTAAATAGTTGTGTGCTTGTCAATAAATCAAATTAAATGTGCAGCGAAAAATCTCGGCCATGCATTCCATCCATAAATCCGGTGAACTTTGATTTGAAACACCGAATGGATTTGAAAATTAGCCGTTTTGCAGCGCGGACATAGCAGTGCGACCAAGAGTTTCATTAACTCTGAACGTAATGTACAGCGGAATTTTTCTTTCTCCTTTGCTTTTAGCATACACACAACAACGGCCGATTCCAAGCAAATTTCAACGATATTCGAATGAAATTTATTAGAAATAAATGTAAATATAAATAAATTTCATGATATTGGCGGTTGAGGCCAAAAACGACTACGAACGAGCTCTCAATCAAACGCAGATCCGCTTGACTCTCGCAAATATAATCAACGCTAGTAATAAAGCACCTCATTCCTCACGGAGCAACAACAAAATTCGAAACGCTAAACGAATTAGCGAACAAAAAAATTATGTTGCTGGATTATTTAATCATCTGCTCGTAAATTGTCGATCGAGTCAATAAATTGATTGTCCATGCTTTTTGGTTTGAAACAATTCCGCGCCCGTCAAATTTTTACGCGGCAAAATATATCAAACTTGTGCAAGCGAACAACAATAAAAAAAAATGTATGCAAAAATACGGGGCACGGTGAAACAAATGGATGTTACTGTCGTTGGAGTGAGAAGCGACATATAATTCAATTAGTTAGATGATGTGATAGGTTTGCTTAGATGAGAGAAACGGCGCAACAAAAGAATAGAGAGGAAAAAAATAACAAATGAAAATCGCGACAATCATTGACACGACACAGAGAGAACAAGAGCGTAATGATTTACATGGAAATATTACCATGCGCTTTGCCGGCGATTCAGGGAGACGACGGCAGTGGCAGCGACGGTTGTGTGTTGCGACAACATCGAACATGCTGTGAGCGCACTGAATATGCAATCAGTCTCAGATGGCAAACAATCATTGACGTTGATTTTGTGTGTGTGCTGCACCATAGTAAAATCAGCAGCCACTCATGCATTGGATCAGGATCGGCGCGCATTCAAGTGGCGTTTAATTATTCAAAGCATATGATTGGGATCAGGTAAATATTGATTAAAATTCACTACAAGTGATATTTGATACACTATTTGCACACGGTTAGTCGATTACAAAATAATAATGGATTGCATTCGTCATCGCGCGCGCCTCAATTAGTCACAAATGGTAATTAATGGGTTTTGGTTTGCAGTGCACTGCTTCGTAATGAACTACGCGAGAGATCTCGCCGATATTGGATTTCACTTTCATCGCAAATTGAAATGGTTATTGCTTTTTTTTTACTCTTCTGTATGTGACACCGTATACGTTTGCAATCATCCGTGCGAATTGGTGCGAATTTTGCTAACAAACATAATTGAATATCATGTGTACTGCTCATACGAATATAAAGCGGCTAGTGCTTCTAATACAAAGCACACGGATGCATATAAACACATTTTCGCCGGGCTCTTGGATGCAGCCCACTCGAAATAATTCCCACATTATATGTTCGAATTGATTAATTTGAAATTCTCTCCCAATCGGAAGGCATTGACGTTGACATTTAATGCTAATTTTGTTTTTTGGATCGGCATATATGCAAAATGGACACCTATCAATAGCACATGTTATTTATGTATCAAACCATGAGCAATAACAACAGCAAGAATCGGGCAAAACATCGGCACAGACTGTGAGACAGACTCTATGCCTGGAATCTATCGGAATGGCAATGGTGTTCTTGATGATTTTGATTGATCGACGATTGACTGCACTTATGTATCGATACATTCGCACCATTTAACCTTTAGCGATCAAACGACAAATCATCAGCCAGCTGAAAAGCATTATGAACTCATGCTATCGATGATGCAATCACAATATGTATATTCAGCTGGAGCTCTCAGATTTCCATTCTTTTCACAAAAATTGTGACACCTGAATATAATCTCATGCGCGCAACATCATAAATGCAGTCATCTATTTATTTAGCCCTAATCTCAAAACATCGCAAATTTATTACTGAATTGTCGATGTTTAATCGTCTTTATCAAATAGAAACAACGTCGAGAAAACGAGTCGATCGTGCCGGATTGTTATTCAAATTGAACGCAAAGGTGGTCTTCAAATCAGCCATTCGTATGCAAATTTATCAAATTGGATTTGTTCAAATATTTATTTAAAATAAATTAAACAAAACCATCAAATCGAAAAACCAAAAAAAAAGACGAAGAAGATGAAAAAACACACTCTCTCTCCCTCATCGCAATCGGTTATCGATCGTTCATGAATAGCACCAGAGAGAGAGAGAGAGAGAGAAATCACTATCAAAATTTCCGTGTTATTAGTAGGTGATAACATAACAGCACAACACAAAACACGTCATTAATAAAACATAGAATCGGCGAAACGAATCAATTGAACGTGATGGTGGTGGTGGTGGTGGACACCAACTGGACAGTTGTCAGTCATTTATTTTTATGTATTCGCTTGCTGTTTGGGCATTTTGTATTATTTCATCAGCAAATTTCTTGTGACAATAGGTGTGGCGCATCTTTCCACTTCAATTGCGCACTCACGCATGACGCCACACGGTCATTTTCAGTTTGAATTATAGCTATATTTACCCGAAAATAAATTGCGATTCTTTTTTCTTCGTACAGCAGCTAGTCAGCAGAACAATACAGCGCACCGTAAAAATTGCCACATTTAGTCTGAACCGAGGGAACAAACAGAAGAACGTGTATCCAAAAAATCGATTCAAATATTTATTTGCCCATAAATTCCAATTTGATAACAACGAATCGGAATTTCGAGTTAAAACACACATACGCTCAATTATTTTACAATAATCACGATTTTGACCAGCACTATTTATTGACATCAAATCAAATAATAACAATCGACAAAAAAACACGCAATAATAACGGTACTTTCCATGCCGTGTGGCGCAGTTGCTCGACCAAAATATTTCAGCTTGATTGTTTCAATGGAATCAAAATTGTGGTGCACTCGAGCAGTGGGTCTTTATGTCACTGAATCGCTTTGAACACCCAAAACAAAATCCGATTGCTAGACGATTTCAGCGCGGTAATTTGTTTGAAAACAAACATTGCGATTTTCATTGCGAAAAAGAAAATAATGAACAGAAATAGATAGATAAAGGTTCATTATCAATGTTGCGTCATTACAAAAGACCGAATTCGCAAGTGTGCAAATAGATTACTCGAGAAAAAATAAAGCAAAAAAAATTCGAAGAAATCATACAATTTTTTTCCCCTCAATTTGATACTTTTCAATATGAGATGAGCAAACGTTGTGAATGTGATTCACTTGAACTTGACTCACCCAAACAATTTCGGTTACATCTCTATTGTACTGTGCGTCATATTGTCAGCTGCATTGTTATGTCTCGCCGTAGTTTTTACACGGTAGGTGAACGCTTTTTTTTCTGCGCTCATTGTCGTACACCGATGCTCGGCAAATGGCAAGATGATGTGATCGAATAGCATTTGCATGAAGTAAGCCAACAAATTAATTCTAATAATAAATCATAAGAATGGTGCATTCAATTGTCAACACACCTTTAATTAGCGGGACATGTAAATGACTTGATTTCAAAATTTAAACAACTGTATGTATGTGTTAACACACGAATGCTAAGCATTCATTTCACTCAAAGTATTTCGATTATTTGCTGATGAAGAACATTTTCAATCAAATGTCAACCGTTTTTTTTTCTTCTTCTTCTTCGGTTTCGTTTTTTTAATTAAATTCGGCTCAATGGTCAATAAAATCACACCGCATTAGTTAAGTGAACGCGATCGTTCATTACAAACGTATCTGCTGGTCAATCGTTGAACAGACGATTTTATGAGCAATGACATCCAAAAATTGATTTGATTTTTGACAATGACACCGTGAACACATACGAACCTATTCGAAATTAATTAAAGAGAATGCGCGACCTTGAGCTCTTCTAATAGAAGATGAAGGGAAGCATATCGCCAGTATGGATACGCTACCAAATCGAAGAAACAATGATCAAACAAGAGATCCATTCAATAGTAGGCTGGTTAAATGCGGTTTATTCGTTGATAATGATAATTGAAACGTGTGTACGATCGAAGAATATCAATTTCAATTGGCTTCGAATCAAATTGAAATTCCTTTCAGCATTTGTTTTTTCGGCGAATTCATATTCCTGTTTTGTTTTCTACTTTGTCAGCTGTTCTTTTTCTTCTTCTTCTTCTTTCTTCGTGTGGACAATTAATTCGGGCAAGTGATATTATTTGTATTGTGATATAAAATTGACTGAGCACGACGATGGGGTCAATTATTCCAATTATTATATGGGAAACAGTAGTTGATCATAACTCAAGCGCATATTTTCTTCATATCGTTGACCGAAACAAGAAAAAAACAATAAAAATGATAACAGCCAAATTCAATGACAATGCCGAAATTGCTTCATTCGTTCCTCGCCTCGAATTCCAAACACTAAATTGAAACAAATATTTGATTGAATATTTGGGCATGCGGTGATTAAAACACCATACCTGCGAAGCAAAAACAGCGAAACAATTTTGTCGATCATGATGTAATTGCTGATGCGATCACATTGTGTTGCTGCTCAAAATCACACACCGAAAATATCTTAATGCAAAACATGTGCGCGAGCTTTTCTTGCCTGAGCAAACGGATATAAGCGTGTTTTCATCGGTTATTTTTCGTCTTCTCTCTCTCTCTCTATCTCTCACTCCCCCATATTTCAATGTAGCTCCTTTAATCTGCACGTAAATAATCACAGACAACCTGTCTGTGTGTTCAATCGATGAATGCATAGCATCTCAATTACTAAAAATACCTTTTGTTTTAATGCTATTTTACATATGTTTTCGAATTGCAAATGATGTTGTTCATCAGACGAACCAAGTATTCTCTCTCTCTCTCTCTCTTTTTTTTTGCTGTGTTCTTCTTTTCATCATTTCGGCATCCGTGTATGTTTGTTTCAACGCGATGTTCAACCCAGAGTGAGTGATTTGAAACATTGTAAGTAAGTTTATTGTACCACATTCATCACACAAATGACATCATTCGAGTTTTTTTTTTGTCCAAAAGCCGATGAAAGAAGAGTGAAAAAATGATGCAGATGATGATGACCCAACCAATTCGATTTATTCATTTGCACAACAGAACTTTCGAATGAATTTAACGAAGGAGAAAAAAAGAACGCACAAATTCCATCAAAAACCGATAAATCATCATTCCATCTGTGGCACAAAACAAAAAGGACTATGTCGATAGAGTCATGTCACCCATGTATTTATTTGTTTCGTTCGTAAAAGAAATTAAATTTGCAATGACCCAAATTGTGAAGATCATTTACAGCTTGAAATAACGATGACGACAAAGAAAAAAAGAGAAAACAAAATTTGCATTCGGCGAAAATGGAGTGCAATTGAAGCGGGTACACAAGGATCATTTTTTGGACCAGGGCACATAATTTATTGATGTTGTCATTTACACAGGGCGGTTGAATCTTTTTTGGCTTTTCATGGGTCACTGGCAGTCCGGTCAAACATTTGCAGTTCAATTGTGAGTGATAATTAGGGCGAACGAAAACAAAGTGATTGACATTTGGAGTGAGTGTGAAATGAAATGCAAACAAATTATTCTTGGATTTTTCGTCGTTTTTTCTTCGAGAGAGAGAGAGAGAGAGAGAGAGAGAGAGAGAAATGTGTGAGATGGGCTTGACATGTCTGCTCCTGAATGCAAAATGAATTTCAATGAAAAGATGCTATTTATCTGTCGGGAACGAAAAACAAACAATGCCAACGGCAAATGGCACAGCATAAAAACAAATTCATTCGGATTGTGTGTTCAACGAATTGAAATGGGGAATTTCTTTCGTGTTCTTCTTCTTTTCATTCTTCTTTATATTGAAACACATTAATTATTTACGTAATATTGATACAGTTACTAAATTCTGGCTCCGAGAATTGCCACCACGGTTCATTGAGACGGCGAGAGTGAGACGAGGAAAAACATCTAGAAAACACAATGCAAAACAAAAAAT